CAGAAATAAAATCTATCAATTTTATCTCAGATTTTTTAGGGGCATCAATCTATACTAATATCTAACTATCCTGTTTTTGTTCGTTTAGTAGTTTTTGAGTTTATCGCGAACAGGCAGACGCAGCAAAAGACTTCGTTTTTATGTAGTGCTTTAACTCTGCAATACAGCTACCAGCGGTATAAAATCTGTACAGCCATAAGTCATGTATTTCACTTAGGGCGGTGCAGTCGTGACGCCAAATAATGGCCACTCGGATTATTGAGAGGACGAATTTATCGCGCCGTGCATCGGACCCACGTGGGTGGGCGATTGTTACCACTACGAGTGGAATACGACTTTTGAAGATTTTATAACATTAAATAGGACTCTATTATTAATCAACTACTTTTGTGCAGATGGTAAATTATTTAATTTATCTAACAGCATTAATAGAAGCAATGACCCAGTAGAAGCTGTGACCAGGCACATTTTGAAGTGTAGGGTTTTTGCACTGGAGGAAGTCGAACCAACTTCGAACTCCTTCTATGTTCTTCTGATTAATTTCGTTGCGGATCCCAAGGCAGTTTAACTTTTCCCCAGGACAAACTTGACCTACACTGGTTGGGTTGTTATTGGCGGTCAAGTTGTAGATCCTGACCACACAGGAGTTGCAGCGGTGAGAACGAGAGGTGAGAATAGTCCCGTTGATTAAATAGTGAATCACCTATTTTGGCAGACAGCAATAAAAGTATCAGTAACTATAAGAAACAACCTAGTCCATATTTTGAGTAAAGTGTAGAGTTAGTGAAGAGATAGAAGCTGGGCTTGTTATAACATCTGTTAGCTTATTTTAATTTGGCAACATTTTATATCAAAAATGTTTTTTTTTTCTTACTTTCGTCTAAAAATTTACTGGCATAAAATTTAAATAATTCAACTCTCGTTTTAATTTTAAAGATTGCCTTACTATCTACAAGCTTTCATCTAAATTAGAATATAAATTAATTTAACATTTTCAATGCAGTATTTTTATATCAAAGGCGATTAATCTGACCAGAAATGCAATAACGAGATTCTACGCGATCCAATTTAATCGTTATTCAAAGAAAAAACATTTATAAAGCGATTTCTTTGTCGTTTCTAATAGAAATGCCTGCTTTGACAACGTACAATGCTTTAATTTTATTTCTTATCGACTGATATCAAAACTCTTAGGGTAGGCGCAAACTTACATGCAAGCGTTAAGGCTAGAGTGAAAAGGCACATACAGGGCAGGTATTTTCCATCCTAGATCTTCTCACTTAATTTCTCGCTTGGTTTGTGCTGCATATAAAAATAATGTTACTTTTCTTCTCCAAGTCTTGCCTTTGTTACAAAATGAAAACCAGCGTCAGGGCACCTTTTTTGGCAAAAAAATATGCGTGTATAGTTTGTCCCTTTGTTCTGTTTTTTATTTTCCTTTTGGGTCAAATAAAGTTTTTCTTATAAAATGGTTTCTTTGGCGGGCGATATACCTTAATTGATTTTTTTCTTTTGCCCGCGTCACCTGTAACTCCGCTTACGCGCACCCTTAGTACGGGCATTGCGAGCTTGATCCAAACGAAATGCGGGCAAAATTAATTCAAGGATAGTATCGTTCCTTTGTGCTCGTCCTTTTTGCTGACGACAGATTAATTCTATGGTTTCATGGTTAAATTAGCTATCGTACAATTAGACTTACTTTGGTACTAAATAGTGTAAGAGAAATACTGGATTTAATTGAAATGTAAATTACTTGGTTTGATAATTTCAGTTCACATGGTAACAAGGAAAGTATTATATGGATTTACTGGAAACCTGAACAATAAGGAACTGAGTAAAGTAAATAGAAATGCTCATTATAAAATAAAGGGTAAATATTGGGTTCATTTTATAATAGGAAAAACGGGGTCAAAACCCTTGGTTCGAATTACGACATTTTGACCTTTGCTGCTTTAAAACTTTGTGAGAGTTATGGCAGCTGAAACAAACATAAAAATCACAAGAGTTTTTAATCAGACTAGTATTTTTTTTTTACTGTTTTTTTTTCAGTTTTCCACGATAATTTATCACTGTAGTATCCTCCGTGAACGAGCTTTATTGTTAATCATGTTATTAGAGCGATAAGACAGTACTTGAGTACATATAACTGTACTTACTTCTAGCAATAGAAGTGGCGGCTTCAAAATTATAAACAACCTAATTTAAAAAATACTGAAAACTTCGCAAAAAATTAATTTCGGACGTTTATTTTGACGAAAACATCCCCCCTTATCGATGGCTCCTACGTATACTGGCGTAAGTGAAAAAAGTAAATTTTACAGGAGAGCCATTTTAGTGGCCAGAACCATATTTTTGGGTCATATCTTCTGACCTACTAAAACGAATTTAATGAAATTTCACATTTAGCCTTAACATATAATGCTTTTGCTACTGCTGTTATCAATTTTTATATTTTTCTTATATATTTTGAGATTTTACGCATTGCCCTTTTACGTCGGCATATTTCTATAATTTCATGTATATTGTTCAACGTAAAGAGACTTAAATGACAACGTAAATATAATATTTTAAGCGATTACTCTCTTTATTTATGCATGTAATTATTTTAATTGTTATCATGTGCTATATCAATAATAAATCAGTTAGAAAAAGTCGTTTAATGTACCGTTTTACGTTTTAACGCAAATACGCCCATATACTGTGCTCGAGATTTAGTTAGGTCTTTTAACATAATGTGTCATATTTTTAAAAAATATAAATAACTTGAAAAAATCGAATTGCCTAAGGCGGGAATTGAACCCACGATGCCTTAGGCAGTTCGATGTTTTCAAGTTATTTATAATTTTCAAATTAATTTGAGATGCGACTCTTAACGCTAAAAATTAAATAACTATATAATGTGTCATATTTTATAAATAAAACAATTTGCTAAATATTTTCATGGCTTTATTTAAGATTTGGATTATAAAAAATATATGTTTATGTAAGCAACTACTCGTATAGATTGACGAATCGTATGATTGGGCTTTATACGTGGCGTAGTTTTGCACATACGCCTATTTGCCTAAAATTTTATTTTGTATCTAATGGAAAAAAAAATTTTTTTTCTTACTAATGTTATAGATTAGAGCAAAGTGAAATCATTGCTTAAATAATTGGAAAAAGGCGTAAGCGGCAGTTTCGCCCTTATACGTAGGAGCCATCGTTATGGCCCAGGCAAGTTACGACCACTTAATCAAGGCAAACTACGAACAAAGTATCTATTTTGCTAAAGTGAAACTTTGGTTACATCAGCCGGTTTCAGCTGGCCCCATAAAACTTGAAGTGCTTAATCAAATACATAGTTTTGGGACGAATGCGTAATTGGCAGAGACAAGTTTGGATATAGACGCCCCGTAAAAATTTTACCGGCATTGAATACTATTAGTTTTTTTTATTAATGTGGGTTATAAATTAAAAACAGTGGCATAAAGTCTTTAGTGAAACGCTAGTGACTCATTTGTAAGAAAACCAAAAAAGAAAAAAAAATTGAAATAAACATAATGAAGCTTTTCCTTATACCATTTGCTTTCTACTGCTAGTATCTTAATAAAATTTTATTGTTTGTCTTACTTATACTGCGGAATTCGTTGTTCGTGTAATTTTGTTTTATGTTCTTTTATTTTTTCATAATTTCAGTCCACTGCTGATCTAAACTTAAAATCTATTTAGTTAATTTATCTTAGTACAGTGTCATTATCCAACTAATATTATTAAATGCGAAAGTTTGTGTGGATGTCTGGATGTTTGTTACTCTTTCACGCAAGAACTACTGAACGGATTTTGTTGAAACTTTACAGTATTATTGTTTATAGCCCAGATTAAAATATAGGCTATAATTTATGACGATATGTGACAAAATAAATTTCAATAAATAAATAAGACGTGGGTAAAAATCTATCGTCATTAGATAAAATCTAAAGCGCTGGACAAAAATATTGCAATAAATATGTAATTAAGGCACACCATAAAGCAGATTTCCTTTTAACTTCGGCTAACTGCTAGCTTAATTTCGAACTCCTCCTATGTTCTTCTGATTAATTTCGTTGCGGGTCCAATGACAGTTTAACTTTCCCCCGGGACAAACTTGACCTTCATTGGTTGGGTTTTTGTGGCGGTCAAGCTGTAGATCCTGGCTACACAGGAGTTGCAGTGGTGGGAACGAGAGGTGGGAATAGTCCCGTAACTGCTAGCTGAAAGTAATTTATTGATTCCTTAATAATTACTTAGCTTTGTTTAATCAATATACCAATCGATCAACGTGGAAAGCATTAGGGGAGGCCTATGTTCAGCAGTGGACGTCCTATGGCTGACATGATGATGATGATGATGATGAATCAATATTTAAAGTAAGTGAGGTCTAAAACAGTACATTTGTCTGTGATGTTCGAGAACATACGCTGGCCTTCGTTAATAGAAACAAAAACATGATGTGAGGCCCCGCGTTGTGTTTGCGAGTTGTGGAATTAATATGGAGCTAAGTTCCGAAGAGCTTTAGGTCGGCAGTATTGAGAACTCCGAGTAAGTTGTGTTACAAGTGGTTCCATTTAACACTTCTGTCATTATTTTATAAAGAAAAGACAACTATTACCTCAAAATATTATAGGAAATGAAAGAAGTAAAAATAATGAGCTTTTTATGCATGAAAAGACAGGTATTTGACCGCAATCGCACCTGGTGCTCAGATTATTATGAATGTGCCTAGGTACTTCTTGCTTTCTGTTATGCTATTGATAGTGCGTTTTAAATGTACTTTAAAACGAAGTTTTATTTGATTACCTACTTAACTAACACTTATCTCTCTATCGTGTGGTCGTAGGTACCTTTTCCTGCATTCATCAATCGGATGCTCATATTCATCAATCGGATCCTGACTGAAACCTGCGCAAGAATTAAACCTAACTGACTATAACCAAATTGTTTCAGGGGCCTTTTGCACGGCAATCCAGTTTTGCGGGACCCTAATGCAGGAACCCGTATATGAACACGAATTCCAAATTCGAACGGATCGGCTTTTTTGCGGGACACTGCAAACAAGATGTTGTTGTGAATGTTAATATTAAAATACGTAGGCTGGGTCACCATCATATTTTAATTTTAGCAAACGTCAAAATCTGTCAAACTCCATACAAAAAGCACCGGTTATTGTTAAAGTTACGGTTAAAGTAAGTTGGTGCAGCTCGGCCGTATAGGTACTATTAAGACGAGATCCTGCAAAAAACGGGATGTCTCCAAAGGAAAGAGCCTTCAGAAGAAATTATATTTCCCAATAAAAAAACAACAAGCAAACCCATAACCTCGCGAAAGGTCGCCCATCGGAGCGGAACCCCGCCAGTTTATAAGCCAAAATCCATAGCCCGCCGCAAGAAACGCTCGATAGCAATAACTGCGATATTTATCATCTCTCGATCCATTAGGCGGGCGGCAGTATGTTCCGGTTTCCGGACAGCGTTCCGGGAAACGTTCCGGACGGCGGAACAACCGCGGAATGCCAGGGTGTGCGGAACGTTTACAGGGGCGGATTTAAGACCGCTGTTTGGAGCTGGTATGTGAACAGTTGCAGAGCATGCCTTGAAGACTGGTAGTTATGTTAAGTCTGCACTAGAGTGAGATGTAGCTTTGTGTGTTATCTTGGCATCGTCAAAGTTCTAACAGTACGTAAGTCAAAAATGTGCATTTTACTGACAGGTCGGAAAAAAGCACGCGGTCTTTCTTCATCCAATGGCATCAAAATGTTAAAACTGTAAAAAATGGCTTACGCACTGACGGTATGTAACTTGTAGATAAAAAACATTGCTATGATCTATCTAAATTTCCAGTGTAGGTCATTTATAGTCAAAATAAGCAGGAAGTATAAAAAATTTAACCACAGATTTCCGTAAATGATAAACGAGTACGCCTTCATATTTTTTTTATTAGAATGTGTGGGAAATGTCTATTCCTGTAGTCACATTGTAAGTAAATCAATAAAAATACGAGTATCAAAGTCGCTAAAAAAGAAAAATATTGTGAAAATAATGAATACCGGGCATGGAATTCCTAAAACTAATTTTTACTTCTAAAGTTTACTACCTACATTGTTCACTCCACAATATTTGTTGTAATATTCTACAAATTAGATATGTAAACACGTTGGCAATTCAAACAATAGATGTATTAAGGTACTTTTTTATATCTAATGTAGAGTCGACTGTAAATAAGAACGCCCAACAATCTAACTGCAGCATTAAAGTAGTAATTTACTTTGGCTGGGTTGCACCATCTTACTTTAACTTTGACAAAAGTCAAAAATCTGTCAAACTCCATACAAAAAACACCGGTTATCGTTAAAGTTACGGTCTAAATTAGGTGGTGCAACTCAGACTTAATCGCTTCAATGTTAATTTTTTTTTTTTTTAAAAAGATTATTACCAATTTGTATTGCCCAAATTACTAATAGTCCCATTAGCCCCTCATGGTAAGCTAAATAAGCTTGTGTTACGAGTGGGCTCACCACAATAGTCGAGCGGCGGTGGGATTCGAACCCGCGTTCCTCGTATCTCGAGTCGGCCACACCGACCCCTTCACCGTTCGGCTATCGTGGTTATATATAACTGACGCGATATGTCCAAGTTGCCCCCTAAATATTCAAATTGAGTTAAATTCGGGAGTCACGCGCAGGCATACGTTCCGAAGTTTCAGCCCTCTGCCTAATATATTGTCACCTACTGACCCCTTACTTTGGGTGTTGTGTCACTACCTTAAATTGGCCACTGTTATACAATTACTGAAATCTAGTTTCACATTATTGTAATACCAACGGTTTAATGCGATGCGATGATGAAAATTATGTATGAATAGGTATGGAGAAACATTATTGTATTTTAATTGTAATGTAAAATTATGTAAACTAATTAATTTTATAATTTATCAATATTAATAATTATTACTAACTATTGTAGAATATTTAGTAATGTACCTACGATACAAGATTTGCAACACCCTTACAGGGTCATAAGTTGAGACTAAGTTTAAGATCACCACCTATGTACACTTATGAAGCAATAAATAAATGATTATGATTATGATTAATGTGCCATTCGAAGGAATCTTTGCCTATTTTTTTTAGACAGTGAGATTAATTCAATCCTACATGTTAAGGGCAAGGTAGTAAGAAATACTTCAATTTATTTTAAACTGATAGGTGTGTTTCACATGGAAACTATACTTAGAGTCGTCAATGCGTCTCAGTTCCTCCTTTATGTAAGTCATCCTCATCTTTTCCATAAAATCGAGGAAGAAATAAAATTATCAAATACCAGCTCTAACTTAAAATCTTAAACAAGAAGCTAAGCTCACCCAATTTTACACAGTACATATTTCCAAACTATCGCCAACATCTCCGAAGATATCTCAACTATTGATCGACAATCGCGTTCTATATCGCCAAACAAATTGCGAATTTCCCATTCCAGCTGCATTCCGCAGACACGTATAATATCAGTTCTGCGTACTTTCCACACTTATCGAATCCAGGTCGGGTCCCAAAGATGGAACTCATTGCGATGCAGCCGCCGATCCGAATCAGGCGCACTACGAAGATCCGTATTCACGAGGCGCGCCTTGAGTTAGTCCTATCGGAATTCGTAGGTAAGTTAGCGATTGTCTTAGGACTATGGCCGGGTATTTCAATCAGCAAGTTTTTTATTGTTTCTATCTTATAGCGCCTTGTTCTGTAGTTATTTTTTTAAATGCGTTCACCATAACCATACTGATATGAAATAACAAGCTGTAGGGGTCTGTCCAGTAAAAAAGCGAATCAACGATGCTATCTAATTAGTTTCCTAGCGTCACATAAAATCGTAAAAAGTTGATAAATTGTAGTGTTGTTGAAATTGCACCAATATGATTTTGATTTTTTACGATTCTTAAAAAAAAGAGTCTGCTAAGATTGTTAATACCAGAAAAGGCCGTTTCATTTTCCCCCCATCAAAATGTTTCACAATGCAATTATTTGCTTACATAAAATTTTAAAGGGGCCCAACGGAAGAGTATTCTCTTAATTCGCTGTCGTAAAAAACAAAAAGGGAGGTTCTTAATGTAATCAAAAGTTACTGAGCTCTAACGGAGTCGATTTGAATAGATTTTCAATTACAATCAGTAAGGATTACGGGCTATCGTTACGAAGTGTTGGACAAACGGGCCGCTTGTAATTTGTCGGCTAATCCAGGGCTGGTTTAATCTACGGTCTGCTTCGGTAAAGGTTTGTGCACACGATAGTGCATCAAGTCAAATGCTAGAATCATCTTGTGCAGTGGTGTAAAGTGCTAACTCGTAGTAACAATTAATAACTACCTACCTATATCTCAAATTAATAATGGGTTCTTCTTCCTCTCAGTCGGTACACTCTTGTCAGAGTCGTCGTGGTCATCATTGTGAATCACGATTCAGAGTGATGCTCCTCGTAATACGGCGACATTCCTCGCGGACTGCAGCTTTCCGGGTACTTTCGCTAACCGAGCAATAATGGGTTAGCTGCTGTACATTATTAGTAACAAAAAATATGTAGCCGTCTGCGTGTAGGCCTAGGACACAGCCGCGATAAGATTTTATCACGCCACTTTGTCGATTTTACGCGATAAGCCTATGTTTGTCTAATCATTGACAAGATCTATCACGGCGCGCATTAGCCCAGCTGGACTGGTAATTAATGCAACGGACTACTCTGGTTGTGGGTTTTCATCCCGATGGGGACAGAGAAATAAACCTTAACCCGGCGCCAATGACGTGAAAATAATTTCAAAGACAATGACCCCGGGTCATATTGACCCCAATTTCATCGATCACTTTTTAGGAAATTGAACAAGTAATCTTAATTTTAATTACTGTCCATGTATAAAGGGTTCATTACTGAGCTAATAAAACAAAAATAAAACGAATACATAACATAAATCAATTTTTTGAATTTTTTTAAAACAAAAGATGAAAAAATCGTGTGTAGAAACACAATGACTCTATATTTTTGGTTTTTGATAAAGATTTTAAGTATTAATAGGAATCAACAATGGTAGATAGTGAAAAAGAGATAAAAATCAACTTTTTTTATGCAGATACAATGAGATAAGTCTTCTACTTTATCATTCAGAGCCATGGAACTGCTGCAACTGGTGCAGTATGTAATCAAATGGTCTGGGCATGTAAATGCGGCATGACGCACTTGCCGGCGTCGTACTAATGCAAGGTCGAGATTATCCAAAGACTGAGTCCACATCACTTGCGTCTTTTCACTTTTGTTGTCATTTTTACGTTCTGGCTATTAGGTACAGTCTGAAATTTTTCACTATCGGAATCCGACTCTTCTAGCAACGTTTCATTCTTGCTGGGTCATTTAACAAAGACATTTTGACTAAAAACTGAAAAAAGAACAACATAAACTAGCACTAAACACAAAATAAGCGAATAAAAGTAAGCCACAAAATCACCGCGCCACCGATGACGCCGGGTCATGATGACCCGTTTTAATTTGAAGCCTGTGTATCTCGCTACGCAAGCGGAGTCACACTGAGCTAACTAACGGAATGGACTTAGGGAGGTTGTATCTCCAGCTATACGAACGCTCGAACCACAAAATGGACGCAAAAAAAAAATGAACGTTTGAAAATGCCTCGGGTCAATATGACCCAGCGTCATTGACGCCGGGTTAAATAAGATTGTTTGATGAGATGACCATCCTATGATTCCTATGTGCCTGGGAGATCCGAATCAAATGAAATTAGTAATAAGAATATACCTATAAAATACGAAAAACGTCAAAGAAAAGTAAATTCAAAGCTCCCGACCTCAGAATAGACAATTTGACAAATTCACCAGCGTCCTAACGAAGTTAATAAGCGACTGTTCCCGCCAGATGGCCCCGCTCCACCATTAAACTGTATTTTACAATAATTTTAATTCACTAATTGGGGCCACCCGATGCCCAGAAGGGATAATCAGGAGATTGGCTAACGATATTATTTTTAGCGTCTGATAGAGGTCGAACGTTAATTAAGGTACAAGTATTAAGGTAAAAGCGGTTGAAATTTAATAGGCCTTTGACATTTCCGTTTTATTCGGAAATTTAAGCCTTTGAAAGAAAATATAGAACAAACAGGTTTTTACCTCAATCGTAACTGAGGTCTTAAAAAATAAAAATTAAAAATTCATAAAATTCATTTATTTTTGCAAATAGGCTTTAAAAAAGCGCTTTTACACGTCCCAATATTAACCCTACCACTGCTTCGGGACAATAAATGGGCCAGTGCTGAGAAGAAGCAGCGCAAGAAACTCAGTCACTATTGTCAGCCTCCTTTTCAAGGTTTTACAGTCTTTAAAATATACAAATTATAGTCATAAGTATTAATGCGAGCTAGGTAGTTAAACATTCCAAACATTTTTATCCTTTATATAATCATCAACTTTATAGTAGCCCTTTTTCATTAAGGCTTAACTGGTATCGTAAATTGGACATACGTAACTGGTATCGTGGGGGCCGCGCGGCCCCCATACTATGTTTGCTTCTAGCAAGCATGTTTTACCTATATGTATACTTGAATAAATGATCATAAATGATATATATCAGGCTTTTTCTATGTAATCATTTAGTTTTTATTGTAATTAATCTTCTTACTTATTATACTTCAAGACATTACATAATAGTAACAACTTTTCACGTAATATTTTTTTAACGTTACAAATATCTATGAAACCTACGTTCAGAAAGTTATAATCAAAAATATTATTTTTTTAATTAATCCATAATAATGTGAACTTAATAATAAATAAAGTTTTAATGTAATGTTCAATAAAAATAATAAGCATTTTATACAAATAAAAACATAAATATTATGTTGACAAACATTAGCAGGTGCTGGTGGATTTTCAGACCACTTGTATTTATTTTTTCATAGTAGCTGGATTGACTAGGTCCTACAACATCTTCATTTTCACTCTCTGAAGAAAAAACTTGAAAATCAGAATCAATATCCTCATTATCGACCGAATATTGGTTATTGGGTCTTCACAACGACCTATAATTTTATTATCACTATATCCTTCTTCTGACATGCTACTAATCACTAATTTGGAATCAAAAACTTCGTTCTAGGTATCTTCTATAGTTTTATCACTAATAAGCCATCAATACTGCAAGAAAACAAAAAACAAATAAAAATTGCCATGAAAAAAAAACTAACGTAACTGGTATTGTGGGGGCCGCGCGGACCCCAACACGTGCATATCTTCGTCCTGGTGAATGATACAGTGCTGAAACGCCTGCACCAGACGCGAGTAGCGCCGAAATGAGAATACCAAAAATTTTGGCTGCCCACGATGCGTAGCTTCTTAGAAATCAAAGAAAACGTCATGCGTGGGGGCCGCGCGGCCCCCACGATACCAGTTAAGGGTTAAAGAACTACCACAGCTGCAATCGATCTTATAGACACCCGGCGTCTGAAGAGGTATAATATCTTTTGGCGAGCGAATTTCCTTCGTTACTTTTGACAACGGACTATATACAGTCTTAATGGAGTATTTGTTGAGTACTGTTCCAATTTTATCCGTTACCCCTTTCACGTACGGAAGGAAAGCTGGTTCCCTGCTCACCATTGGTTGCTTATCCCTCTTGAGCCTCCTCTCCATTTGTCTTGCTGTAGCACTGTAGCCATTCCTTCTTAGTACCTCCTTCACATGTTTTAGTTCCCCTTCCACATGTTCAGGGTCGCATAGGTTATATGCCCTATTAACCAATGAGGAAATAACTGCTTGAAGATGACGGGGATGGTGATGAGAAGAGGCGTGCAGATATCTGTCCGTGTGAGTCGGTTTCCGGTAAACAGAGTGGGCCAAAGCCCCATCCGGTCTCACTGTCACAAGAACATCAAGGAAAGCCATGGATCTGTTCCTCTCCATTTCATACGTGAACTTAACCTTTGGATGAACAGAATTTAAGTGCTGTAGATATTGTTCCACTTCTGTTTGGTTTCCGTTTATGATGCAAAATATATCATCAACATATCTCTTCCAGAACTTAACAATACCGGGGCCGCTCGCTAATGCTTTTTGTTCGAAATGTTCCATCCAAATGTTGGCAATCACTGGTGCTACAGGACTTCCCATAGCAACGCCATCAATCTGGAGGTAATATTGGCCTCGATACAAGAGATAGTTTCCGTCCAAACAGTTTTGCAAAAGGACAATATATTCATCGGGCAGCTCATTGTCAAACAATCTGTCCTTGATGACTTCCAGGCAATCCTTCAGTGGCACATTGGTAAACAGTGACTCAACATCGAAACTTACCATTATGTCACCCGGCTCCACTGAGATATTCTTGATAAGTTCAATAAAATGCATCGAGTCTTTTACGTAGGACGATGTCTTCCCAACTAATGGCTGCAACACTCCAGCAACATGTTTTGCCAACTTATATGTAGGTGAATCAATTTGACTCACGATCGGCCTAAGTGGAACGTTGCTCTTGTGTATTTTAGGCAGACCATATAGTTTTGGTGGCTGTACGTTTTTTGCTTTATGCAAGTATGTATACACGTCTTCTGTAAATAGCTCTCGGTGCTCCTGGATGAGGGCGCGAATGCGTCGTGTCACTCTGGCAGTAGGGTTGTATGACACTGGTTTGTATACTGTCGTGTCAGCTAGCATATTTCCAATTTTACTGGCATAGTCCTCAGTATTCATAATTACAGTGGCGTTGCCTTTGTCAGCTTTCAGAACGAGTATATCCTGGTTCTGTCGCAGGTCTTTAAGTGCTTGGCGCTCTTCTGCAGTTACGTTACTTTTCGGGAGCCTAGACTTTCGCAAAATCACTGCTATATCCTGCCTTAAAATGTCAGCATCCGTTGGCGGAACTTTATTGCGGATAATAGTCTCCTCTACGCCACAAATTATGCTCTCATATGGTATTCTCTTAGGAGTTAAAGCAAAATTCATCCCCTTCGCCAACACGCTTCGTGCAGCACTGTCCAATGAAGTATTCGACAAATTGATAACTGTGTGAGTATTTAATGTGTCCGACTGTACCTGAGTGTTCGCACAAATCTCATTCCGCGAAAAATTATCACGAAGTTGGCGGGTACACAGCTTTTCGAATTTTCGATTATGACCATTCTCACACAGAACATAAGTGCGGGATGCTTGTAGGTACGTTACCCGATCACATCTGTCAAAATCCTCACGAGACCACACTACACTGCATTCCAGATGCAAAACATAAAGCTCACTCTGTACCTTGTCTAACTGGCTATACGTATTTTTAATAAGCTGTTTTAGCAAACGAACACTCGCGTTCCTTAGAATTCTATCCGAAAATGCAATCCCAATACGCGGTTTCAGACGTACACACGTAGGTAATAAGTTCAAATCGCGACAGTTTTTTAAAAATGTCAACGATGTTTCAAGGCGCACTTTTTTGTTTCGGAGTAATTCTAGATGTTTTAATTTTGTTACACATTCCGACCCGTATCGGTTTGCTATATAATATTTTAAACTATTATGTTGCATTTTTTACTATAAAATTATCACTTCACGGGATTTATTGCAACAATATCTATTTTAACGGTAAATAATATTTAAAATAGATATTGTTGCAATAAATCCCGTGAAGTGATAATTTTATAATATTCGTAATCCTCGTAAGACCGTCGGTCCCTTTAAAAGAACCAAATTCTCAAAGTCATTCCATCCTGAACGTTTGAAAATAAATCTAGTAGGTATGACCGAAGGTCCTTTCTAGTGACCCAAAACTTCATCATCAATTTTTGTTAAAATTTCCGCGCCAAATGGTCATTGAATTGTTTTATCTGTGGCTTTAAGGCCTTGAGTGGGTATCCAAATGAGCTTGGATTCCTGAACGTACTGACAGCTGTCAAGAAATGTCACTTACTTTGACAAAAAGGAGCGACCACGCCGATGTGTTAAGAAAATCTTTAGTTATTTGTGAAATCTTTGAGTGTCGGGGCCGCTACCAATCGATCAACATGGAAAGCATTGGGGGAGGCCTATGTTCAGCATGGACGTCCTATGGCTGAAATGATGATGATGATTATGAATATCGTGAGAGGCGATAATGGGAAGAGAATGCGAACTTGAAGCCTCCTCAAGCTGTCTGGCTTAGAACCTACCTATATCTTTCTCTTTTACGCCTTTTTTTTAAAAGAAAAAGACTGACAACGTATTACTTGTACGCAAATCTAAAAATATAGCATGTGACAGTATTGCTTCATCCCCAAATTTAAATTTAAACACGGGACAAAATCAACTCGAAACGATCCCTCACGGCTTNGCCGCTTAGGTAAAAAGCAAATACTAATAAAAACCATGATGAAAACAATCTCCTGAACACTGAAAATATTCTATTAAAAAATAGAATAATCAAAACAAAAACATTAGGAAATGTTTCAATAAAATATATTTGAGATGACCGAGCAAAAAGCGCCATCTATTGCAAATTAATTCAAAATCACGCCAATAGATGTCGCCAGCGGTATCCTAAATCCAAATATCGAGAAGAAATATCAATTTGTGAAAACAGCCAAAACTGCAACGCTACAAAAGATTTTTACGAAACACCACCTCTAAGGGGTTAAAACTGGATCCACGCATACGAAGTCGCGGGCGGCGCTAGTTATGTACAAAGTGATATTTCACTGTTAAAATATTCCAGATAGTTGTTGTAATATTGTAGTTGGTCACAGTATTGTAATTGGTCTGACAAGTTTTAAATCGCTTATAAGGTCTATTTGATTGAAAGTTATGATAGAGTAGAATATCAAAGATTTCTATAATTGAAAATAGATTCTTAAGCAAAACAGAGCCATTGAAAAATCCAAAGAATATGCAAAAATATCTAATAATCTCAACTATGGTGAAGTCTCGTAAACTTTTAAATCGAGTGAAGTCGAAACGTTGCATTCCATTTTGGAAGACCGCCAACTTGAAACTGCTGTAAAACGTTCTAGAATTTTCTAGAACTAACCCTCTAAAATGTCCATTAGAAGATAAAGCAATAAACTATTTAGAGCTGACGGTGGAATATCAAGCTGAACTCTGTGATATCTAATACAGTTGTTTTAGGTGCCATTTTCCAACAGAAAATATAAACTCTGATGTGTTGGCGACTGTAAAAACACAAGATAAGTCATCTTACTCGTACTTGATTAACGCCCGTATTCACAAACATTACTATGAGGCCTCACAGTGCGCGTAGACGAACAGGGTCACCCACGAACCAATCACAGAGCTCTATTCAACGCTGTGCGTTCGATTTGCTGCTTCACTTAAGCAAGCATCGTTTGTGGATAATATCCCAACCAAGTTACTACTGCACTACTGTTATATTAACGGGTTTGAGTTTGAAAATATTGGTCCTACCAAAAATGTTTATGTAAAATTTTGCTAAGGCGTGACCAATGACCATAATGTCTCGGAGTCTTCTAGTGACTTGACCCACTTTTAGCTTGGTCCACGGGCCAAGTCGCCGCTGGTTTGAATTTTTTGACAATGGTTTTTTTTCAGTAACTGGGCCCACCTTTAAGATTCTAGATTTATTTCTCGCACTGACTGTCAGAAAGTTATCAGATAGAATAGTGCCAAGCTTCCAACTCTATACGTTCGAACCCTACAAGCCCTTCTTCACAACACCTTAGTCAATGTGACTTGACCGTTTTGTTACGAGAACCATTTGTATGAAAAAAAAGGAATGATGCTAAATAAGTTGCTCTCCTTGATGAGTATAGACTATGAGCATTTCTATGTAATGTAAAGTTTTTACAAATGGTACAATGCAAGTAAATGTACCACGTTTGGTTCGTAAAAGGGTGGCCAGTACGTTTGTGAAACCTTTGTTTGTCTCAACTATTTATAGACTCGGTACAGTGTGCCTACCATGAGTTTACGTTAGGTGTGCTCGCTAGCGACTGCGTAAAAAAATGACATTTAAATGTATGACATATTGTGCAGCGCCCCTAGCGGCTACTTTCAAGAAATAAAATCTTCATATAATTTTTTGACGTATTCGCTAGCGAGCTCACCTAACGTAAACTCATGGTAGGCACACTGATACTAGAACATTTCATAGAGCGGCTCGTTGGTCTGTTACAAGTTAGTGCACTAGCTAGTCCATGCCTAGTCACCTTTACGCCCTCGTAATATTCAGATTCAGCAATAAATAATCTTGATAATAATCTTTTCTCTCCCAACACGTACAATTGGGCCTATATTTCAAATACCAAACCTTTTCGGAATATGCAAAATCGAAATATAACTCCAAAATTGAGATTTCAGTCGGAGCGTTTTCTGGCACACCTCCAACGAACGGAGCCATATTTGGAGACTAAGATCATGTGGGCTTTGACCTGGTACCCTTTGAATATTGCATTGGGACGTGTCCTGATTGCCGATTGAGTTTGAATGAGGTGATTGTTGTTGTTTATGCGTGTAGTTCAGCGGCCATTTTTTTTTTTTCAGTTGGGGAGGTACTCACTTATGACTTAGGTACAAATTTCATCAATAAAAGTTTCAAACTCATCTATATTTTGAGCTTAAAGGGACACGCCACACAACTTATAAGGACTGGTTTCTATGGTAATCTAGTTTTGAAGAATCCAGTAATGTAGGATCACGCAAAACTGGACTGTCGCACAAACAAACACATAATGTGTTTAAAATTCGACTAAATTTGAACGGATCGATTTTTGGGGGACACTGCAAACGGGATGTTCGTGTGAGCGTTAATATTAAAACACGTATACCGACTTCTAAATGAGATCTTTCAAAAAACAGTTCCTGCAAAAAACGGGATGCCTCCATGGGAACAAGTCCTTAGACTCTCATCATCCTTTGAAAATATTTACATTTTCAAAGAATGATATTTTCATTAGAAAGGAAAATGGTAGAAATTAGTTCTCAGTAAAACTAACTTATCCATTTGGGATAGCTTAAACATGGAGTGCAGGTGCGGTTTTGTTCCCCAGTCGATGAAGCACTTGATGTCGTGCCCTGAGTGCCCAAGCAACTGCAGGAGGATTTGATGAGTGCTGCTGACAACGCCACTCTTGTGGCGGAGTTTTGGGCTGACACTGTGTAGGTTTGTTGTCGACACGAAAAGAAGAAGTAAAACTTACAAAGTAAAATTACGATCCTCGAGTAAATTGAAATTGAGCCATTACGTAAGCGATTCTTAAAATGAATGGCACTTACGCATTACGTCAGTAATACGTCAAAATATAAATGCTCGTGTAATAATAATTGATACGAGACATGTTCAATCCAGACAAAAGGCCAGCGATACATCAAGCAAAGCTCGTAAATATGGCACAACAGACAATAATGGGTATAAAACGCGTACCAGCCGCAACAAAACATTCCCAAGATCTCAGTAATTATATGAGGCCATAAATTATGTTACGTCATACATCATACGTGTTGTAGTACAGTAGACGTAGAGAACCTGTAAGGTAAGATCGAAGAAACTAGACATAGGTTTTATAATGTAGGCTTCCAAACTGGTATTGAATGAAAGGTAATAGATTTATTTAGTCGTCATGATCGAGTTCAAATTGGACGGAGAATCCCTGAAGAGGGCACTTAACTTGTTAATGGGGGTGAAAAAAGCTTGGATAGCAAACAAACTATTTTTGAGGCTAAGCACTATAGTCACATCAATGACTTGTTTATTTGATACATTGACTGTGCTGGATTATTTAAGGACATCACGTAAGTCACTCGTGTCTTCGAGCGTGTGGAAGTGAGAGAGACCTAAACTTTTATTCGCCCCGTTAAAAGTCTTGTTCTTTTAGTAGGCTGAATGACCTGATGATGGTGTAACTTGCTAGAAGCTAGTAGCATTCTGGATAAAATTATAATCTCATAATCCCTAATTTTAATTGGAAAGCTCGTCGGTTGTCGGTCCACCTACAAGGTGGACCGACGAC